TTTTTAAAAAAAAAAAAAAAAAAAAAAAAAACAAGGAAAGCATCCTAACTGCCTTAAGTTATAGCATGAAAACTTAAAAACTGTGTAGCTTTAAAACTAAAATTGAGTTACTTGAGCCATTAGGTTTCCTAAATTGGAAGATTAATGAACTATCCAGTGGAATTCATATCTGATATCAAGCATCTCTTTTTTTTTCTCTATGGAAGCTATGAACAGTGTGTTTAACTAGATTTAAAGTCAGCATGATCACTTGGAAAATTAGAATAAAAAGTATTCACAGGGATGAAATAGCCTGTAAAATGCACAAGCATAGCATTCTTTGGTTACCATTTGATGGTGAAATTTTGGCCCATTTAAATCCTTTCTTTCACATTTCTTTGTATTTTGCCACATCTTCAGCATAAGTATGGTATTTTATATTAAGACATGTATTTCTAAAATATTTTCACTTTGTGTATGCTGTGTAGTTACAAGTATATAAAAATATTTATTAATAGCAAAAAAAAATTAGACTTGAGTACACCAAAATATTAGCAGTAGTAATCTTTGCATTGTGGGCATTTGAGTAATTTTACCTTTTGAACTATTTTGTGTTTTTCAATTTTCTATAGCAAGGCATTTCACCCTTATAGATAAAAGTCTTAAAAAAATTTTAAAAAAATACCTAAGACATATTGTGGCTTTGTGGTTTTAAGAACATAATTGTTGCTTCAATATTATAGGATTTGTAAAGGATCATTTAAGTGTTTCTGGGGAATTTTGAAAAAAAAATTGCCTGCCAATTACAGCACAAAATATGTAAAAAAATTGTTCAGTCTAATAGAATTAAGTAACAGTTGTTCCTTAATTCTCCTCCCCAACACAATGCTCATAGTTGGAATTGCATTATTTAGAGAAAGGTGTGCAAGAACTACTAGATTAAATTGACCACCAATTCCTGTCATCCTGACTACACTGATTTACTACCTGCATCATTTATTTAGTTTTCTCTTTCCAGGAAGAAAAAACTGTTTAATTTGTTCACCCCTAGCCCATAAAGGTATTTTGGTTTGAGATTTGAGAGTGTCAGTATTTAAGGTGGTGTGTTGAAACACAAATATACACTATGAAGGCTTGGGTTGGTATCTCAGATTTGTTTCCCTAACTGTGTACCTTTGTGGTCTGCAGGAAGTCAGTATTAAGGTTCTGTTTTACAGGACTACTTTGAGAACTGAAGGATATATAATGCAGGAATATATTTTTAAACTATACTAAATAATTTAGAATATTATATTTTATCCCACCTGAATAACTTAAATAATCTCAACATAGTGATATAAATTTCAGTGACATTGGTAATTATTTTCCCCCAGTCTGTAAGTGTATTAAGTAAGGGTCATTGTTATTAGTATCTTTGATATGTGAATATAGAGGCGTTACTCTTCTTTATTGGTCTTGCTTTTTATATATGCTTTTCTTATTCAAAATAAGACTTATGACTCAGCTTATGTTATAATTAAAGAAAATATTAAAAGATATCACACAAAATACTTTGTTTAAAAAAAAGCCTTTCAGGCTCCCCTGCTGGCGCAGTGGTTGGGAGTCTGCCTGCCGATGCAGGGGATGTGGGTTCGTGCCCCGGTCCGGGAGGATCCCACGTGCCGCGGAGCGGCTGGGCCCGTGAGCCATGGCCGCTGGGCCTGCGCGTCTGGAGCCTGTGCTCCGCGACGGGAGAGGCCGCGGCGGTGAGAGGCCCGCATACCGCAAAAAAAAAAAATTAATTAATTAAATAAAAGAATTTCTCTGTTAACATCATTGCTTTTACTGTTTAACAATAAAGATTTTTAGATGGCAAACTTCTCGATATCAATAAAGACTTTCAGCCGTATTACGGGGAAGGAGGACGCATTCTGGAGATCCGGACTCCAGAGGCAGTAACCAGCATTAAGAAGCGAGGAGAAAGTCTAGGCTACACAGAAGGGGCCTTGCTGGCTCTGGCCTTCATCATCATCCTCTGCTGTATTCCTGCCATCTTGGTGGTTTTGGTCAGCTACAGACAGTAAGTATTCATACATGGCTGAACATGGATAGTTCCTCAAGAAGGCATTATCAAAAAACTATCTCTGCTAAAATGGCTTTGTAGCTGTAAAATATTAAGGCTGCAGCCATTTTGGGAGTGCTGTATTTTTCTTGTACCAAATGACCTTCCTTTAAGGGAAAGCAATACAAACTTTCAAAACATTTGTCACAGATTGCTCAGTGTTCCTGTGCTCTTAAATATTCTTATCTGCTAGGAATATTAGGTTACCTCCTGTAGCTTTGTTTATGCTCTTCATCAGGTTAAGAGCCTTGTAGGAAAGGTACGAGGTATCTTGGGGCAAAGGCAGTGGAATGTCATATAGAGATCACCCAGTTCCAAAGGAAGGTCTGTAACCTAAATACACTGTCATGCTAGGTTTTTATCCATATTGTTAAATTTACCTTTATACAGATGATTACAATGTTTGAAAAAATCATTTAAAAATCGTAGCACACAATATGTAATTTTCCATATGGTTTCTTCTTTCCTGGCTAGCCTTGCTAGAGCCTATACTGTAACATCTAACAGTATATTTTGGCTGTAGAGGCCTTACATTTCTCTGGTTCCTACAGGCAAATACATCCATTTAAAATATCTATATTTTTCTTGTTTAGGCTCTTCAAAGTAGTCAAGTAAATTTTTCCTAATTTAAATATCTATATTTAAAATAGTCTAGCGAGCTGTTCTTTATTTGACACTAGGAATGGGGACCCTTTGTGATACAGGGCTATACTTTTAAGTATATACCTATTGATGATGATTGGTGAAAAAATTGTGGAATAGGTTAAGAAGAGAGGTAACCCTGAAGGTGCCACAAAATGAAAGTAAATAACAGACAGGAATCATAAGTCATATAAATTACTTGATATAACAAACAGTAAGAAATAATGGTAGAACAGCTAGCTACTCACCATTTAAAATACAGGGAAAGGACTGAAAAAGTCCTTATATATTCTTAAACTGTTATCTTTGTTGTCTAACACTGAGAATTTTCTATTGAATTAAATAAGATAAGGTAATTCCAACCTGAAAGTTAAAAAGTGCCCTCTGCATGAAGATACTATAGGAATATTTTCCCTCACAAAACTAATGTGAAGTTGCAAATATAACATTTAGGTTGATATATTGGAGTTCAACGTGTGTTAATAAATCAGTTGATATGCCAAATCTAAAGCCTATGCACAAACTTAATAACAAATTTTTAGATTAAGCTATCAATCCAATATTAATTTTCATGTTGAATTTAGTCTGTATTACAGTTTTTCTTTTTCATTCAAATATTTCTCAAAGGAGCTTTATTATATCCTGCTAGCATTAAAATTGGTGAGAAAACTTCATATATTTGGCACACAATGCAGTGATCAAAACTGAAGCACCCTGGATGTTACGTTAAATGGTCTGAATTTTAACAAAAAATTAAGATGCTTAATATTTAAACATTGTAAAGATGCATTATTTAATCTTTTTAGTTCAGTAATCAGCCTAACACTCTATGAATGAATTTTGGTAACTCTTTTTTATAGAGTAACAGAAGTAAACATGTTTGAAAGTAAAATTCTAATATTTTAAAACCTGACTTTTGTACATTCATATTCTGCTTATAAATAGATTAGAATGAATGGTTATTCTTTAATACTAAGATGTGTCTTTGAAATTTGCTATGTATGGAAAACTTAGGAGGCAAATGTGAAAAAAAGTGTCATAAATTCATTACCCAGGAGTGGCACCTTCCAATTCTAGCTTCAGCTTCAAAGTGAGGCTAAGAGTAGAATCAGGGATTGCTGCCTGACTCCATTCTTTTAATATTGTTCAAGTGTAGTAAACCAAAAAGCTAATTATAAAGATCATATCATCTTTAATATTCCATTTCTCTATCAGCGTTGAAATTCACATGTGCATGTTTTAATCCAGTTTTTTTAATTCCATTGTTAATTTCTTTGTTTTCCTGCAATGAATGTTTTAACATCTTGTAGGACTGTGACAGTGGTCACCATTTTCACTTTTTGAATTGAAATACATAGTTCCCCTACTATGTCATTAAGTCTTTGTCATTGAGTTTAACCAGTAAATTATTCATAATTTAGATTAAATAAAATGTTAAAATATTATGAATGCAGTATTTCTCATGTAGCTTTCTCTCCTTTTTTATTCATTGCTTCCCAAACAGGTTTAAAGTGTAAGTATAATTACCAATATTTTGCATATGATTTTATGTGATATAAAAAGAAAAAAAAAGAGACAACACTGATAAAGTAGGCAGCCTGCCCTGAACCATGTATTGTCTATTTTGTATTTGTATTTTGTATTTGAACTACTTTTTAGTTCAAATTCCTTTGTGGGTTTGTATATATAGAATTGAGCTAGTTTTAGACAATTGGATACAAGTGGAAGAAATGTGAAAAAGGCAGTTTGCCCTTATAGCCTCCACCCTTTGGGATCTTGATTTTGAGGCAAGAGTTAACAATCAGGATCCAAGAAAGTCAAAAAAGAGCAGCTTACCTCCAATGCAAGAATCACAGGCATTCCTAGGAATTAAAAGGAAATAAAAGCTAACCAAATCTCCCTCCTAAATGTGTACATCTACACAGCCCCTGTAAACTAATGTCAAAAATGTTTTAAATCATTTTTAAATAACTTTTCTTTAAATAGATGGAAGGAAAATTATGTATCTTCTATATGCCTCACGTTATGAGAGATCCATTAAACAACTACCAATTATCAATCACATTTTTTTATAAATATTTTGCCTTCTCCCTTTAATATTATCATTTAACTTAATTTGCAAATTTTTCTACTGAATTCTACCTGTTTTTCAAGGAGTAAATATTTTAAAGAACTAAGGAGAAGGGGTTATACATAAAAGATACTCTGTGGGGATGCTTTTGTAATTTTATCAGTTAATAAGTTCAAATATTTGTGTAAAAATGTTTGAGTTCCTCTGATAACTGGACTTATTATTGAAAGGTAGCCTATTGATAAGTATATGATTTCTAAAATGAGTTTTACAAAACATCCTTACTTTACTGAAGGCGCCAAGCTGAGTGCACCAAGACAGCCCGAATACAATCCGCCCTACCTGCAGCGAAACCCGCAGCACCTGCCCCTGCACCAGTGGCCGCGCCCCCACCGCCCCCGCCACCCCCGCCGCCTCCAGGGGCGCATCTCTATGAAGAAGTGGGGGACAGCACGATGTAAGTAGACCTTTCAGGGGCTTTTAGAAGTGGGTTTTGACGGATGCTGTGTGGTGAGTATTTAATTTCAACTTGATGTGGGAGTACCGTTTACGGCTTGCTTTATTACATTATTTCAAACAGAAAATTGTTAAGATGAGAACCTAAGAAAAGTTAAATTGAAAAGTAATAACCAAAAAACAAACAAAAGATCATTAAAAAAAACTGAGTAACAGGAAAGAGGTATTCAATTTGAGGAGACATTTGCAGATGAATAGCTTGAGTATCATATTTAATTTCTAAACCTTCAGAATCAGGCATTTTCCCCCAAATTAAAAATTAATTCTGAAGATATATTTTCTCATAAAAAATGAGAAAAATAAAGCACAATTATAAAATAGTAATTCCTGATTTGGTATCAAAAGCCAACTCCTATTTGGTAAGAAAAAAACAATTCTGTGGTCTAAAATAATAGACTTTTCTAAGATACTAGTTTAAGATGTTATAAAATAGAATAATTAAAACCTGAATGAAAATAAAGAATTAATATTAAATAACTAACCACTTAGGAATATTCTTTTCATCATATTCCTCTCTAATGAGACTGCTGTCTTATTATATATAACTTAATATTTATAACTCTTGTATATACTCTCATATATAACTTAATATTTCTCTTGCACTATTTGGAATCTCTAAGCAATATTAAATCATCATTTTTGAAAAAGTCTTTTAAATTATTGCTAAAAGACTTCATAGTTTCTATAACGATGCTACCCTCAAACCCTTTCTTTTGGAGATGTTTGTCTATATTTTTTAAAAATTCAAGAGTAACTGTATCATCAACATGAAATGCAGAACAACCAAGGATATTATACAATTTTGAATATGATTAAATTAAATCCAGGAAAATTTTATTAACTGGAATTTGGTGGAATGAGGGACTAAGACACATTATGCTGTGTTATATTTGTAGTATTTACTAGTAGGAATAAAGCGAGCCTCAAAAATTATGAAATTTACCTTTTAATGGGAAAACTGTTTTTAAACATATATATCATATTATAGCTGTATTAATACTATTATACAAGATTATATTGAAAATAGTTTTTAAAATGTTAAAACTGATTTTAATGCTAAAATTGAATTTAAAAAAACTTAATGCCTGGCATGCTACTTCTAGAATAATAATATAATACAGGATTCATGCTTTAAATATTTTTTTTCATTTTTTTTATAAGTTGAAAATGATGGTCTCTTTTTGAATTGTTGGTGAATGTAGGAATTGAGCCAATAAGATTTGATTCTCTTTGATTGTGTTGACCACATTAGCAAAACATGTGTGAACTAAAAAAAGATTTATGTGGAAAGTGGAATGTGTTTTATTTGAAATTAGTGAGGGATATATATTAATATATGTATACTATGACATCACCTGGAATCATATATTTGATGATGATAATTTTCAAATAGCAACACTTAGCGATTATTTTTATTTGGAAAATTGTGGTAGATAGTAGAGGATTTTGCAATTCTAATATGTATTTATTGAAGTGTCAAGTTCTACACATTTAATCATCTGACAAATGTTTAAATTATCTATTCAAAAACCTTTTCAAGGATTCTAAGCATAAATTACTAGAAAATAAGCTATCTCCAAATGAATTATTATCAAATATTTTCTTTAAAAAATCAAAAGTCATTTTGAAAAAAAAAAGCCTTCACAAAATACTTAACAACTTCATGTAGATTCAACAATTACTCTGTAAGAGTCATCATAGTACTTCTATATTCCTTCCAAACAATACTTATGTTTTCTTTATAAATCAGTGTGGAGTAACTTTTCACTTAGGACATAGAAGCAATTCTTAGAATCTCATTTAAAATTTCTGTTTCAGAGTTGAAGTCATCCACGTTTGATAGAAGTGAATTTTACCTGTGTATAGGAGATAGATAGCTAGGTGTAATTTTTTGTGATAAGACAACCAAATAAATGCCATATGATTTTATCTAAAGCATTATTAAAATTATTCATGTGAATAAATACAAAGAAAATATAAGATACATGCATTTTCTTTTTTGGATATGAATATTAAGTGTTTAAAGCAAGTTCCTGTTAATATTTTCATAATCATCTCAATTTAACTATAGTCAAAACTTTTTTTTTTCTATCACATGTTTTCTCTTTCTCACCTGTGGATACATAGGCATAAGTAAGTAAATAATATCATTCTAATACAAGGGTATTAGGGAAAAAAAAGATGCAATAGAATAGATTAACTGCTGTTTTAGACTATATACAGTAATCTTCATCTTTTACTGTACATTTACTTTTAAAAAGAAAGTTATGTCTTCTATACCTCATTCCCTCTTGATATCTTGAAATTGCATGAGTTTAAACAAGTGTTCCCACAGATAGTACCTGTGCCTAGCAAAAGGAGTTTCAAAATTCTCATTTTTTGATCTGTTAAAAATATTTATGGATATTTTTCCATCAAAAATGATGTGGTATCATTGTATAGACAGTTCTTTCCAAGAAAAAGAAAACCAAGAACAGATCTACACAGAAACAACTGCTATATAATGTCAACCCTGATTTTTAAAAACTACTTTTTTAATGTTTCAAAAGTGATTGCTGTTTGTTTAATCCAAGTTGTCTCCACTTTTTGAATTATTCAGGAGGTCCTGACCACCTCTAAGAATTCTCTCTTCCAGTTTGTATTTTTGCCAAATGCCACAATAATAACTTTGGCTTTATATATCATTTTATTATCTCACCTCTCATCCTAATTTTTATTAGGATGTGGCTTTCTGTCAATGTGGCTTTTAATTTTTTTTCAAAAAATTTCCCTTTTATTTCATTTATACTATGTTGGTAAATATTAAATAACGAAAATAAATCTGTTACTCTGAGCTTGAGAGCAAAGTCTAATGACAAACTATTTAAAACCACAAGTCCCCAGTCTTTCTGGGGAAAGGGTCCCAATGCTTTCATTAGAAACACTTATTTGTGTCCTTTGACTTATCCAATTTTATCTCTGATGCATAGCCACTATGACTCAATGACCATGTCTGAGCAAATCTTTCAGTGATATCAAAACTATGTTATATTAGTATATCTTTTCATTAAAGTGAGTCTTGATTGAAATTTGATCCATATCGCGTTCAAAAGAAACACCAGAAGCCCCTCTTCTTATTTGTAATATTTATAGTGTTTTTAAACTAGTAAGCATAAAATTGAGGGGCTCTTTCTGTATCCTCTTGCAAGCTTTATGTCAAATAGGAGAGTACTTTTAGCTCCAGGGCAGAATTACTAAAATGAGAGATAATGGACAGGTACTGAATCAGATACAGCTAAGGATCCTTTCCTCAAAACAGTCAGTTCTGAGCATCCTTAAACAAGGCAAAGGGTATGAAACCACTAGCCAACATGCTGGTCTGCAATTTGGAGAACTGTGATTTATACATGAGAGAACTATGATGTGTGGTCCTGGAAGCTTCACATGGAAACTAAAAAAAGAAAAAAAAAATCAGTGTGCAGATTGACACATTTTTTAAAAAATGAAAATTTCTCATGCTGCTCACAGCTCTCTAGCTTTTCCTGCCCTGCCTTTTTGAGAACAGAAACATCAAAGTAATGGCTTGCTTCAGTAGATTAGTGTTATTTGGCCTTTTATATTTTGAAGTAGTAATGAGAACCATAAAAACATCTTTCTCATAAAAGCTATGTCACAACGTGTTTCCTTACGTTTCATTATCTTCTTTTCTTTCAAGTCTTTTCCTTCTCTACCATTTCCAACAAAGCAGGGAAAATAAATCAATCTCAGAAGACAGGAAACATCAGCACTTTTCTTCCAGTACTGTTGAGGCTCACAGGCAGACTCATGTAGATGGATCTGTTAAGAACAGCTGGCCCAAGTCTGCAAGAGAATTCACACTGATGTCTGATGATGATGACTTATATACCCACAGTACCATTTGCAAGGAATATACAGATCAAAGACCAACAAATTCAGACTTTTTACTAAGAACAGATTTTGTAGAGTCATTTTTATCCAAAATGCAAGCCAAGAATGAGTTTCTGAGGGGACCAAGAGAAAAGATTCAGAGGATGTGGAATCGGCCAATCTGCTTACCTAGACCAATGTGGGAACTTCCCAATAGGTCAGAAACCATAGCTCTAAAGCAAAGGCAAAGCAACAGGCAAGAAGCTGAAAATGAAAGTACTGGAACCAATCCAAACAAAAGAGGTAACAATAGTCCCTTGCTTACAGCTGAAGACACAAATGTAACAGAAAAAGAGGAAATAAGGCAAAGTGAATCACTGATTATACAAGGAACAGAACAGTTGCAATCTCTGTCTTCAGACTCTTCACTTTCCTCTCCTTGGTCTCACCCCTCATTCTCCACTTTGCCAACCGTTTCAAGACCTGTGGAACTTAAATCAGAACCTAATGTTGTTGTTTCTCCTGCTGACTGTTCCTTGGAACTTTCTCCATCAATGCCTTGCATTTTAAATTCTGCACTCCTTAGCAGAGAGACACCCACTTGTATGATGACTTTTGAAGCCAAAAGGGACATTTTCGAAAACCTTCCCCATCCACTAAAAATCTCTCCTCCTCCTCCTGTGCCTCTTATCCTTACTCCTTTTGCTCTTTCCAGTCTTCCTCCTTCCCCTCCTTCTAATCCTCCTCTTGGTCCTCCTCCTCCACTTCTTCCACTATCTGTACCCCCTCCTCCTCCCTCTACTTCTCCTCCACCTTCACTTTCCTCTCTTCCTCCACCATCTCCTCCTCTTCCTTCTTCACTGCCTCTTTCAGCTTCAGCTCCATCCACGAAGTGTGTGTTTACACCAGCTATTAAACACACTGTCAATGTGACACCAGCCAAGGAAATGAAGTCCACTGCGATACAGCTGTCAACATCAACAGTGTGTAATGCAAATTCTCAAAGGGAACCAAAAGGCATCCTCAAGCATATAAAAAACTTAGCAGAACTTGAAAAGTCAGTAGCTAACATGTACAGTCAAATAGAAAACAATAATCCACCAGCACACCTCTTAAAACTTCAAATGAGTTGCCTTTCAGAGACAACAAATATGGAAATGACATCTGAACAAAACCAGGAGAATTTGCACAATATTGTTGAGGGAATTGACAAACAAACTCACAGTCAGTCTACTTCACTGTAATGTTGCTTTTCTGGTTTTAAATGGACAACTCTTTTGTTGACCATAAGCTTCAAGTGGAGGCAAATTTGAACATTAAAGAAGATTCCATTCTTTTACTTGAAACTCAATGCAATGCTGTTTTTTCCTCATTTTTTTAGTTTAAAAGATTATTAATCTCACCATCACTAACTCATATTATAGATTTACCTTAATTTTCTTAACTACGAAGTAGTATTATTTGTCTACATTTATTTAAAAAGTAAGTAATTTCAATCTATTTTTCAATGGGCATATATGGGCATGAAAGTTAGATATCCAACTTAAATCAATGGCTTGTTTATCATGTTATGTTTTACATTTACTTTTTGATCATAGTTTTATATGAGTGTTCCAGGAAAACAGCAGACTGTTACAAGTAAGCTAAAAAATGATATCATATGTTCTGTTATTGCCTTGAAGCCTATGTATTTGGTAAGAAGAAATACTACCAAAGTAAAATGTTACATATCTAGAAATGTAGGAGATGACAGACATTATGGTATTCCAAAATAAATCTCAGGTGCTATAAGATGTAGGCATCTGTTTTCTTATAAGAACACCCTTTACTCTGGCTTGCTTTTATCTTCCTAGTATGCTTATACATTTGATAAATCTTTTACTTTTTTCAATGGCTGTCTTATTCTATTTATTTCTCATTGTGCTTTCTCTTCCCTTCTTTATAATGGAAATAAATCTTGAGTTGCTGACTTCTGTAAGACATTTCATTGTTCCCACAAATGTTTAAAGTGCTCTTTAGTTTTGCTTGTTCACTTTACTATATCATCTCCTTAATTATAATTTTATCATAAGATTCTCCTTCAAAAATAATATTTATCTCCAGTTTAATAAATAAATTCTCATCTGTTTCAGCAAAAGGTTAAGTAAATGCCTACAAAGTTTTATCTAGTGTGAATTTAGTTATTTCATTGTTGAAAATTATATTTCCATTAAGTTTATCAATAGTATAAAACATGCTTATTATGTATTAAAATTTAGAAAAATGCATTATCAGTTTTATTCCTAGTTACTTTTAATTGCTATGGATAAATCATCCAAATTTAGCCTATAGCATGTAAATGAAATATAAAAATTTCAAATAGAAATCAAGCAGAATATATCTGGTGAACTGTCACCAGTTTTATATATGTCTTTCCTCTTTGGTTTAGGCAAAGAAAATAAATTATACTCTAGGTAGAAATTTCGGTAGTTATAGTTGTTCTTACATCTTAGAGCTAAACTTGTTAAATTCTTAAAGGCATCAGCTAAGCTAAGTACCATCTTTCTGTCCTAATGAAAGCTACACTGGACCATGAAGTACTTACTTTGTTTTTTCCATATCACACATGGAATAAATTTTATTTACTGGAAATCCCCACTTTGAATACAAGTGTAATTGTTTATTATACTCTTCAGCTTTAATAGTTTAGAAGATATAAGTCTGCACAGAGGAAAACACGATTCCAAAATATAGGGAAAGTCTTGCTTGATAATTGCCATTGTAAGTATATTAATATAGATTCAGAGCCCTACAATGAATGCATCATTTCATTGGTTTTGTTTGACTCATATTATGTGACATTTCTTCAAGAATTCGATCTGGCATCCCCAATTAACAATACCAAATAAAAAATGTAAAGTTAATTATTTTCATTAGTTCCTCTACTTCAGATTCTTTTCATCCAAATCAAGAGTAATTTTTTTCCTGGGGTTCTTGAACATGATTTTTTTCTCTCTCACTGAAAAACTTCAGTTGGAGTTTTTGTTGGCAGCTGGTCATATGCATGAGAACTTGTGCTATTTGGCGGACTCTGAAAAGGTATTATTGACAACCGTGTAAGCGTTTAATGTGCAAGTGTGTGTGTGTGTGTGTGTGTGTGTGTGTGTGTGTGTGTGTTTATGCTATTTTGTATCAACCTCTTGGAAATGTGAAAGAAATTTCTTGATAATTCCTTAGAATTCTTTGATAATGAAATCTCTAAATAATTACCAAAGAAATATAAGAAA